CAGAACAGAACAGAACAGAACAGAACAGAACAGAACAGAACAGAATAGAATAGAATAGAATAACAGAGTTGGAAGGGACCTTGGAGGTCTTCTAGGCCAATCCCTGCTTAGGCAGGAAACCCTACGCCACTTCAGACAAATGGTTACCCAACATCTTCTTAAAAAACTTCCAATGTTGAAGCATCCACAACTCCTGGAGGCAAGGTGTTCCAATAATTGATTGTTCTAACTGTCAGGAAATTTCTCCATAGTCCTATGTTGTTTCTCCCTTTGATTATTTAGTTACATAAAGTTCAATTTGTCTACTGGAAGTGAGAAACAGCTGAGGAATCTCCATAGTGATATGTGGAATCTCAGAACTGATCTTGGAAGAAGAAGTGGGGACTCTGTTTAGCTAATCACAGAGCAGTATTGAATTACAATAGACTAACAGAGTTGGAAGAGACCTTGGAGGTCTTCTAGTCCAACCCCCTGCTTTTAGTTTCCACCCATTGCTTCTTGTCCTGCCCTGAGGTGCTTTGGAGAATAGATTGACTCCCTCTTCTTTGTGTCAGCCCCTGAGATATTGGAAGATTGCTACCATGTCTCCCTTAGTCGCCCTTTTCATTAAACTAAACTTACCTAGTTTCTGCAACCCTTCTTCATATGGTTTAGCCTCCAGTCTCCTAATCAACTCTGTTGCTCTTCCCTACAGAATTATTAGAGGTAGAAATATGGATTGATGTCCCAGGCTGTAACAGGGACTCTGAGTCCAGGCTTAGGCATTTAAACTGGCCAAATTCTACACGACAATCTTGTGAGATGGGTTGGGCTGAGAGAGAGAGTAACCAGCCCAAAGTCACCCTGCCAGTTAACTTTTTCTGCACTTTCCCAAATGCTTTCCTATCCATTTAGCCGGGATGTCTTAACAGTATTATGACCCCAAACCGCCAAACTCCAAATCTTTCTGATTGAAAAGCTCAGTGTCTTAGCCACTGAGCCACCCTCAAATTAAACATATATTTATTTTTTTGACACTTTCAACAAAATTGCTGTTGAAACATTAAATATATGCTGGCCACAAACATTAATTGACATAATAAACATTCAAACAATACACGATGCTTGAAAAACACAATAATAATCAGTAAGCCATAGAGTTGATGTACATATATGATACAAGATTAGTATGGGGCCCCTATGCTTGTGGTGCTTCAGGCAACAGCCCATCAGGCCTCTGAGTTAAGGCAGCCCTGAGTATCCTGGCATAAGACAGGAAATGAAGCATGAGGATGAACTTTATAAATATCCAAACTGCTACACAGATATTGAGGAAACATCTGGCCCTATAGAATCTCCTCAGAGAATTAGGAGGATGGTGTCCTCTCCTCACTTTGGAC